GGCGGTTCCCTCATTGTGAGAAGCAAAGCTACAGGGAACCAGGCAGAGGGCCTTCTTGGTAGTGGCACCCGCCCTGCGGAACGCCCTCCAATCAGATGTCAAAGAGATAAACAACTACCTGACATTCAGAAGACATCTGAAGGCAGCCGTATTCAGGGAAGTTTTTAATGTGTGACATTTTAATGTATTTTTAATCTTTGTTGGAAGCCGCCCAGAGTGGCTGGAGAAACCCAGCCAGATGGGCGGGGTACAAATAAATTATTATTATTATTATTATTATTATTATTATTATTATTATTATTATTATTATTCCCACCAGCTCTAACTGCAGATACCAGCGACTGAACCCAGGACTTTCTGCAAGAAAAAGCAGGTGCTCTCCCACTGAGCCATGAATGCACTTGATGAAAACAGGAAGATGCCTTCTACTGAGTCAGAAGACTGGTTCATCTAGCTCAGAATACTCCACAGTGGCTGAGAATGACTCTCCAAACAAAGGTTTCAGGCAGGGGTGCCTCCTAGCTCTTGCCAAAGATCCTGGGGGAAGGACCTGGTACATGTGTAAGGTGGTTATGGCGTTTGCCCATTCTTTGGGGATACGTTTGTATTGAGGGAGAGAAAGGGTTAATAGGTGGACCAATAAGAAAGCCCGGGGGCAGAGCCTACCTGATTTTGAGTCTCAGCCCAGAGGTTTTGACAGTTAGTTCGGTTGGTTCTTTTTTGGGGGGTGGGGAGAGATAGAGGAGTCAGAGTGAGTTAGAGACAGGGACAAGACTGAGAGGGAATAGAGTGACAGTGTTTCGAATATATTTTAAAACTTTTTTGTGTTTGAAATAAACTTTAATCTTCATTGTTAACTCTACCTGAATCAATACTTCACCAGGGAATCCTGGGTTTTTTTTCCACAAAATTGGTGGCAGCGGAAGAATAAAGTAGTGGTGTATAGGTCAATAGTATGTGAAACAACCGGGGGCTCTGTACGAACGCCACAGTGGTAAATCCGAAGTTGCCCATGACCTCCATTCTAGGCTGGCTCGGCCATGTCCACAGATTGGAAGAGGGCAGGATCCCCAAAGAATAATAAATAACTAATAATAAATTTTGATTTATACCCCGCCCTTCCCGGTTTAAAAACTGGGCTCAGGGCGGCTAACAACAAATTTAAAACACTTTAAAACACTTAATTATAAAAGCAGCATAAAACACGGTGTAAAAACATGAATAACAATAAAAATCAAAATTCAAAAAAATCAATCAGATAATCCCCAGGGCTAGCTGGCTGAATTGGTCCTACTTGGGCCAGCGAGGAGGCCAGGGGAAAATTTGCTGTGGGGTCTCAGAGCGGGTGATCTTCATAAAAATGGAGAGGGGAAGGGAAGAGAAGGGAAATAAAAGATCAGGGTGAATTCAAATTAAAGGCCAGGCAGAATAGCTCTGTTTTACAGGCCCGATGGAAGGAGGTTAAATCCTGAAGGGCCCTAGTCTCATGGGACAAGAGCATTCCACCAGGTCGGAGGACGTGCTGTATGGGGGAACTGGCTTCAGGCACCAGGACTGCTGGCAGACCAAGTCAGCGTTACAAAGATGTCTGCAAACATGGCATGAAGGCTGGCAACGTCAATCCACGCCATGTGGGAATCCCTTGCAGACAACTGCAGCGCCTGGAGACAGGCAGTCAGGTTGTGCATCCACAGCAGTGACCAGAGGAGGAGCACAGAGAGAAGGAACGCCGTGGTGCATCTGCAGCAGCAGAAGCAGACACTTTCGTCTGCCCCAGCTGCAAGAAAACATGTCTCTCCCATGTCAGTCTATACCTGGGGTCTGCAACCTTTAAGACAAAAAGAGCCACTTGGACCGAAGAAAAAAAAACTGGGAGCCACAAAACCATTGCAACATTTAAAACAGTGGGGAGTGTCAGGGCACACAATGCGCCTCCTCCCCTTGCTAGTATCCGCCCCGGAGCCGCGGCAAAGGTGTAAAAGAGTCACATGCGGCTCCGGAGCCGCGGGTTGCTGACCCCTGGTCTATACAGACACGGCAGGCACAGCAACCGCCCAGCGGTTTGACTTCACCCCCAAAGGCACACTCCTCCATTGTCTCCCGAGACTGACAGATGCCAACCCATGGAGCGGTTGACAATGATGGGGCTGAAAGCATTTCTTGGGGAGTGGAAACGGGCTCCCAGCCCCCCCCCCCCCCGCCAAGATAAAGGGCAAGATACAAGGTCTGCGAATAAACACTAGCTAACATACCGTATTTTTCGCCCTATAGGGCGCACTTTTCCCTCTCCAAAAATGAAGGGGAAATGTGTGTGCGTCCTATGGGGCGGATGCAGGCTTTCGCTGAAGCCTGGAGAGCGAGAGGGGTCGGTGCGCACCGACCCCTCACGCTCTCCAGGCTTCGCGCACCTCTCAGCAAGCAGCGGGAGCGCTCCCGCTGCTTGCGGAGAGTTGCCTGCATGCTGAAGCCTGCGCGTGCTGAGCTCAGCACATCCAGGCTTCACGGACCTTTCCGCAAGCAGCGGGAGCGCTCCCACTGCTTGCGGAGAGTTGCCTGCATGCTGAAGCCTGCGCGTGCTGAGCTCAGCACATCCAGGCTTCACGGACCTTTCCGCAAGCAGCGGGAGCGCTCCCACTGCTTGCGGAGAGTTGCCTGCATGCTGAAGCCTGCGCGTGCTGAGCTCAGCGCGTCCAGGCTTCACGGACCTTTCCGCAAGCAGCAGGAGCGCTCCCACTGCTTGCGGAGAGTTGCCTGCATGCTGAAGCCTGCGCGTGCTGAGCTCAGCACATCCAGGCTTCGCGCACCTCTCAGCAAGCAGTGGGAGCGCTCCCACGGCTTGCAGAGAGCTGCCTGTTTGGGGGCTGGGGTCGGGGGAAGCTCGAGCTTCCCCCGCCCCAGCCCTGCGCCTGGGGGGGGGGGAGAAATAATTTTTTCCCCTTTATTTCCCCCCAAAAAAACTAGGTGCGCCTTATGAGACGGTGCGTCCTATAGGGCGAAAAATACGGTACTTCTTTCTAGGTTCAGGCAAGCCTCCGCAGAAATGTAATTTTAAAAACAACTACCACCAGTCTGCAAGACTCCAAAGAGGCGCAGCTGTAAACAATCAGAGATTAAAAGAACAAAGACAGAATGAATCCATTCTAAGAAAATCTCATTAACATTAATCACTAGCATACAGACCAGTTCACAGGAGTTCATCCACACTAAACCATTATGCCTGTATCTTAAGCCACTTTTTAATTACTGCTGGATACGACAAGTTTATTTAAAACGTTGCGAAACTGTAGCTCACAGAATCATAGAAGCATAGAGCTGGAAGGGACCCTGAGGGTCATCTGGTCCAACCCCCGGCAATGCAGGAATCTCAGCTAAAGCATCCATGACAGACGCCCATCCAACTTCTGCTTTAAAACCTCCAAAGAAGGAGAGTCCACAACGTCCAGAGGGAAACCGGTCCACTGTGAAACAGCTCTGACTGCCAGAAAGTTCTTCCTGATGGTTAGGACGAATCTCCTTTCTCGTTATTTGATGCCATTGGTTTGAGTCCTGTCCTCCAGAGCAGGTGAAAACAAGCTTGCTCCAACTTCCATGTGGCAGCCCTTTAGATACTAGAAGATGGCTCTACTATCTCCTCTCAATCTCCTCTTTTCCAGGCTAAACATACCCAACTCCCTCAACTGTCCCAAATAAATCCTGCCAATTTATCAATCTCCACGTCCCTTCTCAACATTTCATTCGGTATACGTGTTTTTAAAACCACTGATTTTATCTATAGTCACTTGATTGCATTATGTCTGCTGTTTTCAAAGTGCTTTGGCTGCAGTTTTGAATGAATGCTTTTATGTAAACTGCTTAGAGGTTTTTTCTTTTTCTTTTTAATTAAGCAGAATATAAATCTTGCTAAATACAATAAGGACACAAGCACAAACCACTTAGGAACAGGAAAAGAAAAGGTTTAAATCAATTCAGTAAGAATACAGGGCAATCAACTATACAGTATGACTGCACCTTACATGGGGGTTCAGATACATGAGTTCTGTGCATACATGAAAGTCAGGTACACCCAAATCTTTAGAACTGCCCCACATCTAGAAGGTAAAGAGGAGAGAAAGTTTCCCCAATGCTCGTAGAAACAAGGCAGAGAGCTTAAAAGTTCTTTTTGCACTGGGAAACCCCAAATGGACACTGAGCAAAAAGGTCTTTTAAGCTCTTCGCCTTGCTTGGATTGAACCTGTGCTACCTAAAGACCAAAAAAAAACCTGTTTATGTATGCTACAACTGCAGCTAGAATAATTCATGCTCAGAGATGGAAAGAAGACTCTATCGCAAACAAGAAGGAGTGGCAGATTAAATTAATGGACTTATGCCAAAATGGCAAAACTTACTGGAACAATAAGAAACCAAGAAGAAAGAAACTTTATTAAAGGACAGGGGAAATTCGTGGAATATCTGAAAAGTTTTGTATAATAAGTTCATTAGCAGCATTGACCTAAAACAAGCAGCTAAATGTAATGTTAAAGAAAAATTAGGGAGTAATTAATAATTGGAATAAGGTGGGAAATGCAGTGTTAAGAATTAAAAATATAAGAAACTGCAAAAGGGGTGGGGGGTGGGGAGTCAAAATATATATGTTTACTGGAAAATCATTGGATTTGTATGTTTGTAAAAAAAATGTAAAACTGAAAAATAAAATTCATTTATGACCGCAAAACAAACAAACACACACACGCAATAGTACTGTGCAATAAGACAGTTTCCTGCAATCCAGTCATCAATCTGCACCTCCCCCCAAAAAAATCTGCTGAAAAGGAAAGTCTTCAGCTGGTATCCAACGCTAACCAAGCTTGGTGCCAATAAGTGGGACAGTGTATCTGACAAGCACACGGTGGCCTCACGAGGACATCACATGAAACACGGCCATTGTGTCTAGTAACCACTGCATTAAAAAATGTAAAAGCGCATGGACAATACTGGCCAAAAATCTCAGAAGCGCATCCTACCTGGGTTGAGCACCGCCGATCCAGGCCACGTCGACGGTTGAGGTGGAGTGTTTGCTGCCAGTCTGGAACTCCGAATTCACAAGCCACTTGGGGTGCCTGGATCTGGTCGTGAGGAGATTCACCCCTTTCTTGGCCTTCACTCTGCCAAGCAGGAAGAGACAGAGGAGAGCAACACCCGTTTCTGAAGGACCCTCAAGTTCGGCTCCCACCCCTCCTCCTCATGCGCCCTCGGGCAAGTCGCTTAAACCTTCTTAAATTTGTTTGAATGAACTGAAATGGTAAGCTTGGCCTTTACTGGAGGGGGGCAGCCATAACGGTGGGTTAGAATCAGAATGGTGAAGTCGGAAGGGATCCCCAGAGGTCCTCTATCCCAACCCCCTTGGCAGTGCGGCAATCACAGCTAAAGAATCCCTGACAGATGGCCACCCAACCTCTCTTTTAAAAAATACATCCAAGGAGAGCCCACTACTTTCTGAAATAGCCATTCCACGGTCAAACAGCTCTCACCCTCAGAAAGTTCTTCCTAATCTTTAATCTCCTTTCTTGCCATTTGAATCGCCATTTGAGTCCTACCCTCTGGAGCAGCAGAAGCCAAGCAACTGGTATTCATAAGCATTACTGCCTCCAACCATGGAGGCAGAGAATGGTGACCAGGCATAGCAGCCATGGATTGCCTTATCTCCCATGAATCTGTCCAATTCTTCTTCTTTTTTAAATAGTTTTTATCAAAGTTTTTGTGTTACAAACCAACCAACCAACCAACCAACCAAACAAACAAACAAACAGGGGAAAGGGTGTCTATCATCTCCACTTTCAATTCACAGTCTTTTTCATCTTTTTCACATTTCTCAAAGTGAGAGACACTTTTGTCGTAGACATCTTGCAGTTGGGGGGAAAGAAAGGGAGGAAGAGTGTTGTTCTTTCAGCCCTGTTGCATAGTGTTAGTGCAGGGGTTTGTGTCGGCATCACTTGGGCAGGTCCATTGCTTATATATATATTTATTTATCGTTATTGACATTGCAAGAGATCAGGGGGCCCACAGCTTTGTTGGCTGCATTCAGTTGACTGCAGTGGGGCATGTTTGTTTTATATTGGGGTCAGAGCAGGCAGGTTAGCCATATTGTGTCCAATCCTCTTTTGAAGTCGTTTGAGTTGGGAGACCAACACTGCATCCTGTGGCAGTGAGTTCCATAGTTTCATTATGCTTCACATGGATTTCATTTCACCTGTCTCTCATCTTTTTCCCTTGCCGAACTTAGCAGGGTGGGGAGGATAGGGGCAGAGTGAGAATGAGTTGACTCTGCTTTCTAATGGCTACAGATCCCATTACAGTAGTACCTCGGGTTACAGACGCTTCAGGTTACAGACGCTTCAGGTTATAGACTCCGCTAACCCAGAAATAGCACCTCAGGTTAAGAACTTTACCTCAGGATGAGAAGAGAAATTGTGTGGCGGCGGCGCAGCAGCAGCGGGAATCCCCATTAGCTAAAGTGGTACCTCAGGTTAAGAACAGTTTCAGGTTAAGAACGGACCTCCAGAACAAATTAAGTTCTTAACCCGAGGTACCACTGTACTGTTTGGGCTATCTGCCTTCTCCCCACCAGCCCCAAAGAGCACCAGCAACCACTGGCTGGAATGTAGCCTACTGTACAGTAGATGTGAAAATGAACAGTCTCCTTTGGGAGGTTTTCAAGCAGAGCTTGGATGGCATCCGACATGGATGCTTTAGCTGAGATTCAGCAGGGGGTTGGACTAAATGACCCTTGAGTGGGTCCCTTCCACCCGCTTTTGGCCTCAGGCGCGGCCTACCAGCAGCATGTGGCTCTGAAGGAGTTGCTCACAAGGGATTGTTGCGCTTGACCTAACAAGGGTTTGCCTTCCATGTTCCAAATGCTGCTGCAATGCTAGCTTCCTGCCAATTCTAGAAGCTCATATTGTCTTGTTTTTTATTTGTGAGGCAAGTCGAACTTTCATCTTCAGGGTGGGTGGGGGGAATAAATAAATAACAGATGGACTGAATAGTTGGAAAGAAAGGCAGAGGGCCCAACAGGGGCTCTGGATCCCTGGGAGCTGGAAAACCTTGCTGCTCGATTTTGGATCCCAGGGAAAACATCCAACTCTGCAATGAGAACAATGATGAATAAATAATACAACCTATTTGAATTTATTTGCAATGCGGGGTTGCTTTTTAGCGCAGGTCATGCGCTGAGTGAATGATGCCGTTTCGCAAAAAAGTCAAGAACCTTCCAGCTCCATAGTTCTACAATTCTGTGATTCGTGGGAGGTTTTCAAAACATCTGTAAGGGATTCTTTATCTCTGATTCTTGCATTGCAGGGGGGTTAGTCTAGATGACCCTAGGTGTCCTTTCCAACTCTACAATTCTATGAATGTTTGACAGCTTGGGTAGCTCCCTGAGCAAACGAGAAAAAAACCCAGAAGTGATGTGAACAGTTGATCCGAGGAGATGATGCAAAATGAAATAAATTATGCAAATGTCCCCCACTTTGCCTAATTGACATAAGGCGCCGAAATCAGCTGTTCCTGGCGCCGAACACAGATTTCCAGGGTGTGTAGAACGTGGCTGCTTTCTAACACCATGAATAAATCCATGAATATTGAGAAGGTCTCATTGAAAGGAGAATCCAGAAGGATCGTTGCTGGGTCTCCAGATACAAACAAGACACGGAGGTGGATTTTAAACTCACAGCTCAAGGGTGATAAGGAAAAAATCAAGTCTCCAGGCAACTACGTTAGAAAGCGTGGAGACAGACCAGAGCACCAGGGTAGGTCATCACCAGGCAAGGCTCTGGCAGAGACTCACTCCTAAAACCCTGGCGATCTGCTGCCATTCAGTGCTGACAATACTGAGGTAGGGGGACCAATGGCCAGATTCAATCTTGCTTTACTCTTGGAGGAAGGACAACAGCTCAGGGGCAGAACATCTGACCTGCAAGCAAAAGGTCGCAGGTCCGATCTCCTAGGTTCTCCAAAGTTAGCGCTGAGAGAGACTCATGTGTGAAGCCGAGGAAAGCCACTGGCAATCAGTGTAGACAAAGCTGTGCTGGATGGGCCAATAGACTTGGCCTGAAGAGGCTTGCTAATGCTACTCTAGGCTGCATCAGTAGAAGTATACTATCCTGATTAAGGGAAGTAATAGGACCACTTTATTCTGCCTTAGCCAGACCACACTGGAATACTGTGTCCAGTTCTGGGTACCACAATTTAAGATGGATATTGACAAGCTGGAATGTGTGCAGAGGAGGGCAACCAAGTTGATCAAGGGTCTGGAAACTAAGCTTATGAGGAGTACTTGAAGGAACTGGGCATGTTTAGCCTGGAAAAGAGAAGACTGAGAGGAGATATGATAGCCATCTTCTAGTATCTAAAGGGCTGCCACATGGAAGTTGGAGCAAGCTTGTTTTCTCCTGCTCTGGAGGACAGGACTCGAACTAATGGCTTCCAATGACAAGAAAGGAGATTTGGTCTAAACACCAGGAAGAACTTTCTGACAGTCAAAGCTGTTTGACAGTGGAACGGTTTCCCTCTGGAGGTTGTGGACTCTCCTTCTTTGGAGGTTTTAAAGCAGAAGTTGGATGGCCACCTGTCATGGATGCTTTGGTTGAGATTCCTGCATTGCAGGGGGTTGGACTAGATGACCCGGGGTGCCTTCCAACTCTATGATTCTACGATTCCTGATTCAGTCCTTTATTCAGAACCATGAGGACTAGAACCTTGCTTTCAGAGACCTCCTTGGAAGCCAGCTTCCTGCGGATAAAGACATTTCCCTCTCCTTCCCTCATGCATTATTGCCAGTGAGTCCTAACCAAGCAACACACCCACCTTGAGAGCAACACTCGTGATTTGGTCTCTGCAGCAACCATCCTGTCTGACCCGCTGCCCAAGGCGCTGCTTACCTGAGGGTGAAGTGCTCGACCGTTGAGTTGTTCATCAGGTAAAGTACGATGCTCAGCACCTCCCCAGGCTTGAGAGGTTTCTCTGGCAGCTGAATGAAGACGTTGTCGTCTAGCCGCTGCTCCTGGAAGACTGGGGCGGGGGGCGGCTGCACCAGCCTCAGGCTGCCAATGCGGAGCAGTGGGTGCTGCGTGGGACCCTCTGCCCGCGCCCCTCCGCCCCCCCTTCGCCCAGCCCCCTCTCCTCCGCAGTCTCCTGCCCCGTCGGGCGCGTGGAGGGTGTAGTACAGCTCCACCTGCTGGGTGTCCCCGGAAAGGTCCATCCCCTCTGGCGCTTTCCTCCGCCCCAGGGGCACGGCCGAGGGTCCGAACCAGGCCTGAGGCAGCTCAGCCTGGGCCAGGCAGGAGGCCAGGACCCCCCGCAGGCGGCAGGAGGTGCGCAGCTCGCGGGCCTCACGAAAAGCGTGCAGCCTCACGCAGGGTAGCCGCTCGGTGGCGCCGAAGTCGTCCCAGTCCCTGCCGGCGACGTAGAAAAGAACCTGCGCCGTGGGCTGGGTGGCCGGCACCCGCGTTCGGACGATGAAGGCGCGCACCTTCCAGTTGACCGTCAGCCGCTCGGGGATCTCCAGGGTGCTGGAAGGCTGGAGGAGTTCTTTGGGCAAAGCTAGGCTGGCGCCAAAAGGCCCCAGGGAGACGTTCAGGACGGGCAACTCCTTGGTCTGGAAGACGACAAAGGGCTCCGAGCGCGTCAGGCTGGCGTTCCAACCTGGAGGCCGTGTCTCCCGCAGGAAGAAGGCCAGTCGGGTGTTGGACAGGCGGTAGCTCACTGGGAGAGTGGCAGGAGCCGAGGGAGGCTGGGAGGTCTCTGGGGGCTCCGAGCTGGTGGGGAGGACCTTGGCGTGAGCTGCAGAAAAGGAGAGAGAGAAAGAGGGAGTCAAAGGAGGTCAGGCCGGTCACCCTGCAGTGCACCTCCCAGACACTAGGGGGTGCCACAGCAGTAACATCAGCTTTCCCGGAAATAAAGTTGTCCACTTCATGAAAGCTATATCCCACTTGGTTGCAAAAACGAAAAACCTCAAAGCGGTTTGCAAAAATGATAAAGCAATATAATTACGTAGCAATAAGAAGAACGGGCCACAATAATTCATGGCTTTAAAAAATTACTCCTGCGTTCTCTCCCCCACCCCCCATTATACTTTATTAAATGTTCATACGTTCCAATACATAGTAATTTTTTTCATCTGTTTTGCTGACTTCTCACCCCATTTTCCATTGTGTTTCTTATTTCTCCTCCCTTCTATTTCTTATACCACAACAACACATAGCTGTCAACGTTTCCCTTTTTTTAAAGGGAAATTCCCTTATTCCGAATAGGATTCCTCGCAAGAAAAGGGAAAAGTTGACAGCTATGCAACAACAATACAATAATCTCTAATTCCTTCTGTTGTTCATTGTTCAAATCCTGAATTCATCATACTATAGTATTTCTTTAAGTATTCCAAAAAGGCTTCCATTCTTCCACAAAACAATTGTCATGACTTTCTCTTATTTTGGCTGCTAACTGCCAATTCCACATAGTCCATCACCTTACTTATCCATTCTTCTTTGATAGGATCTACTTCTTCTTCCTTCCATTTTTGTGCATAGAGAATTCTAGCTGCTGTCACTACATACATAAACAGCTTAATTATCTTCTCTCTTTTTTCTTTTGAACTTCTGTCCCTAAAACCCCTGAGAGAAAAGCTATCATTTCCCCAAATACCTTCACTTTCTTACAAGTCCAACACACATGAAAAAAAAATACTTCTGCATTCTCAGAAAGAACATTTGAAACAGGGGAGAGGACATCTCTGTGAAATCCTCTCAGGCAGAATGCAGGGATTCCCCTTGGCAGTTCCTTACTTTCGAAGGAAGCCAAGAGTTTTGCAAAAGTCCTTTCTTTATATTCAACATTTCCTCCAAGGAGCTTGAGGTGGTTCACACAGTTTTCTCCCTGTCCACATTTTATCCCCTCAACAACCCTGTGAGGTAGCTTAGGCCGAGAGACAGTGACTGGTCGCTGGTCACCCAAGGAGCCTTATGCCCAAGTAGGGATTTGATCCCACGTGTCCCACTTCCTAACATGGAACGCTAACCACTATACTACACTGCCTCTCTGTTTTAGGGGAAAGCAAGTGCAGAGGTGCATACTTTTTTGCAACCGGGGCTTAATATGAAATGCATGCGAAACTGGCATGGAAACTGAGATGCACTCTTACTGATCTGGAAAGGGATTTTGTGGTGGTGGGGAGTTCCACAAAGTGTCAACCCAGCTGACCAGACAGGTGCCCTCCATGCTAGGAAAGCGGTTAAAGACAACGAAAAAAGAACAACGAAATAAGAGCGCATAGCCATTTCTTTTATCCTCCCTTTTTGTATTGTTGCCAGCTCTGGTTCGCAGCCTTTGGAACCGGGTACCAAAATATTATGACTCGTTTCTACAGTATGCGTCCCTTCCAAATGCTTCTGCCTGGGGTTAAGACACACTGACACCACCCCCTCCTCGCCCCCTTTTCTGACACAAGCAACACCCCCCCCTTTCCATCCCCATCTCCCTGACAGACATTTTGGCTGTGAACCATAAATACTTTGTGGAGGCATCTCTGCTCTGCCAAGAGCTGCTGATTGAAGGACACAATCTGCATGCAATTAAGTGGGTTAATGAAGGTGATTGCTTATTAATAACTCTGACTCCGTCTCGCAGCTCGGGAGATCAGAGGGCAGCTGGGACCCACCCACTCCCGGCTGCTGCTGCTCGGAGGTGCAATGCAGAGGTCCTGGTGTGCTGGTCAAATGGCAGAACGCCTGCCAGTCCAAGGAAAGACCTGACCTGTCCCACTGAAATACCATAAGCTGCAATTCAGGACATAACAAATAACAGTCGCTATGGTACTTGGGCAGGAATGGAGAACCGCAAGCCCAGCGGCAAGGGACCCCAACATTAAAGAACCATCGGAAGAGAGATACACCCACCCCCAATGCAGAACTGGCAAAATTAACAGCAAAATTAAGAGGATGTATCAATGAATGTTTTTTGGAACAATGTGTGCCTTTTTCGGACCACTTGAAGAAATATTATAGTACGATGACCTCGCGAGCAGGATTTGAGCTATGAGCAACAGAAGTAATTAGATTATAATATTGCGGTTGTGCTTTAATAGGCAGATGATAGAGTGAAGAAACAACTCCATGGGAAACGGGGTGGAAAGTCGACAAAAATGTCGAGACTTAATAAAATACAATTGAAAAGAAAAGGCATTGGGAGAGACATGGGCCAACACCCTGTTAATGTTAACGGCTGGAATCATGTTTGGGACAAGAGTCCTTTCCGATCGTCCTCTGCAAGAACAAGGGGGGAAATGTGCCCCAAATAATGCACAGGTGGTAATCTACATCCTTCTTTGGTTAATAAATTTCACAAAAGAAGATAAGAAGAGTCTGCTGAGTCCAGCCAATGGCCCATGCAGCCCAGCATCCTGTTCTCACAGTGGCCAACCACAAGCAGGATTCGAACGCAGGAGCGCTTTCCCCTCCTGTGGTTTCCAGCAACTGTGGAGGCACGGCACAGCTTCCATAAGCAGCCCTCTCAAACTCCATGAATTTGTTCAAGCCTCTTTTAAAGCCACCCAAGAGGGTGGCCATCACTGCCTCCTGTGGGAGGGAGTTCTGTAGGCTAACTCTGCACTGAGTGGAGAAAGACTTTTTCTTTTGTCTGTCCTGAATCTTCCAACATTCAGCTTCATTGGATGCCCACGAGTTTTATTGTTATGATTCAGATGTTGTATGTGTACAGTATGAAGCCCTCCTCTATCCAGCCCTGCTGCTCAGTCACTGCCAGCTCAGAAGATGGCTCCCTCCCCCCTCGGCTATTCAGATAGGCTGCTTCTGAACATGGAAGTTCTACTTCGCTAGCAAAGCTAATAGTCATGGACACACTTTGGGCAGAGCCGCATAATACACTTAAAGCACGTTCAACACACATAATTTAATGCACAGGACTTCCCCACAAAACTCCTGGCACCTGCGGTTTCCCCCTCAAAGAGAGATCACTCAGCTCACAAGATACACTATCCATTTTAAAACTGTATTGTTTACTGGTTTCAAAAAAGTCCTGGGCAGTTCTGAGCACACCCCGCTAGTAAAATACAAAGAACAAATGGTTTGTGCATTGCCCCGGGAAACCTTTCAGTTGAAGAGCAGAATCATTATCCTCATCTTATAATCTGATGATGGTAAAACGGTGCAAATTCAAGATGACCCATTTTAATTCTGCAGGATCCAATTTTTACGTGGACCCCATGGAAAAAGCAAACTATTGTTGGGGTGTATCTTTCTCTCTCTCTCTCTCTCTCTCTCTCTCTCTCTGAGGAGTGTGACCTGGGGGAAGGCAGGGCAGGAGAAGCAACCTGTGTCAATCTCCCCAAATTCCAAATTTGTACATGGACAGCCCCTCCCCAATAAAAAAATTGTGCCCCCTGCTGGCTCTCTTCTGCAGTTTTGGCACCAAGCAAAGACGTGCTTAATTTTCTCAGGCCTTTTAATTCAATTTGCTCTGTTTTATCTTGGCTGGGATTGTATGGGGGTATTTTTTATGCTACTGCTATTGCTTTTTTATTGCTTCTTTTGTATGTTTTCAATTTGTTTTATTGTGCCCTGAAATTTTGTAAGCCATCCTGGGGATTTTATTGGACGGGGTATAAATCCCGAAAACAAAACAAGCAAACAAATGAATGAATCATTTTCTGTTCTTTTCATTCTCCTGTTACGCCACGCAAGCCAACATCATACAGAAATCAGAGATCTGGCGAGACATCCCACCTATCGGCTTGCAATAGATGCCGCAACAATTAGGGTGTCACCCAAACCATGGTTGATGGACACAGATGAATTACATTCTTTGGGGAAAAGCAAGAGAAATGAATCATTTTTAATGCAATGCTGGTCTTGATCTCCCTCTGTGAACTTTTCAAATCAGCAGTCGCCAACGCAGCGCCAACGGGCAGTACCTTGTATGGTGCCTGCGAAAATCTCAATAAATATATATTCAAAAATCCAGGATGCATGAGGGTCTATTTACTCTTCCTTCTTCGTACACTAACCCCTATCCTCATTTAATTCCCACAACAACCCAATGAGGTAGTATAAGCTGGCCCAAGGTCACTCAGTCAGCTTCTTCTGCCAAGTGAGGTTTGAAACCCTGGTCTCCCAGCTCCTAGTCCGACACTCTAACCACTGCACCAGGCTGCCTCACCCACCTACATTTCATTGGAGATGAGGATGGGACACCCAGCCACTTTCTGAACAGAGGACAAAGGCAAAGAGCTGCTTCTCCCTGTGAGGAAGCACAGCAGTGGCTGGTGCAGGTGTCTTTTCCCAATAAACTGGGGCATTCCCACAGCACTTAGTGAGCCTCTCTCTTTTTATGCTCTTTTAGAAGAAGCAGCCATTTTGTATTACGCCCCACCTCAGGCAGCCATTTTGCATTATGCTCCACTCACACGGCAGCCATTTTGGAGGAAGTGGCGCCCACAGGCCCCAAAGCATTGGCAGCCACTGCTGCAAAGCAGATTTTCAACAATCTTTTTCCTCTACATACGAGAATGTTCAGGCAGCTCTTACTGCCTATCACCATCTTCACCAACCTAGTTCTGTCCAGAGGTTGTCGGACTACAACTGCCGTCAGTCCTAGACCATGGCCAATTCTCAGGGATGAGGGGACCTTTAGTCCAACAGTGTCTGAAGGCCGCCACTAAAGTGGTGAATTATTAGTAGTAATATAATGCCCTTCATCCGCAGATCTCAGGGCAGTATATCCTGCTACTGTATCTTTTCCAGGATTTCCGGTATCTTTTTGTAGGTTTTCTT